CATCATTTTTACTATCGCTTAATGAATTTAACATTGTGAAATTCAGAGAAAATCCCTCAGATGTCTCTAAACTACTTAACAAAGCCAAATTATGTATCAACTGCTACAATCTGGACGGACTAAAATATCGGGGCTGGGTCTAGAAGTGCTCATAGCACATTGCCCCCTTCCTCCCCCCAACATGTATATAAAAGCCTGTTGTCTGGGTTTGAATTTTAGGAGCCCCTTCTCTCCCCCGCGTCAGCTGCCTAAGTGGTAGGGGGAGGCTAGAGTTGTCCCCAGAGTCTCTTTCCGTCCTATACCTTATCTTCGTGCTTTTGTGGGAAAGGACAGACAAAAGAAGACAGAAGACAGACGCAAGATACAGGGATTGCTGAGACATGCAGAGAATTTTTATTTATCACGTATGTTAATTCTTATATTTACTTGCAGAACAGAGTCACAGAGAGAAGTGCAGGCAAGGTATTAGTAGGGTTCAAGTATCTAGCACAGCATCTAGCACACACTAGGTGGTTCTATAAGGGCTTGTCATATTTCTCAAATGCCAACTTTTGGTACAGTAAACTGTCAGTCACTTTTATGTAGATGCCTTTTTTGGATTGCTATTACACTACATTTTTGCCAATTAAGGATTTCATGCCATATTTTTTTGTGTTTTTTTTGTGTGTGTGTGGGGGGGGTTTTTTTTGTATTTTTTTTTGTTGTTTTCAGTTATCTTTTGAGGTTAGGTGGTAGGGCCCCATCCCCCTCCCCCCCACAACAGAATAGTATTCTTATTAGAAGTTCCTAAGACCAGGCAATTCCAGCATGCAAAGTGTGATAGGACATAGCCGGGAAGATGAGAAACTGTAGCCATCATCTAGGGATAATATATTCTAAAAGAAACAGATGAACAAACATGTGTAAGTTACTTTGTCCCCGACCCCAGGATCCTTTGCCCCGCCCCACCCCTGCCACAGAGGCTATTTCTTTGAGATGCCCTAGGCTAGGTCAATCAGCTCTGTCCTCATGAGAAAAAGCTGCTTCGTCACTGCATGCTGAATATGCAAGCAGACCTCCAACGGTTACCTGGCATGCGAGTGCGTGTAGGCATGTAATGGGGAGTGGGGATGTAGGAAGTGAAGGAAAACAAAATTGATAATGAATGGGAAAAAAAAAAAAAGCGGATGCCATCATGAATTTCCTATCCACTAGCTAATAACGCAATATGCCTCCAATTGAAAATATACTAGAAAATCTTAAAAAGATCAGAGGCTTTGAGATCATTCTTAACAATGACGTCCTGCAAGGTGCTGAGGCACTTTTTTTTTTTTCCTCTCCAAATTACAGACAGTGCAGCACCACGTATTTTGATATGGGAAAAAGATTCCACCCCCCCCCAAGTCTGAAATTTTTACATCAGACCAAGCACTGGGTGGATGGGAATTTAGTAGATAGTTTTAAAAACAAGTAGCCAATTTGAATGGACAGCTGGGGTAGGGGTGGGGAAACAGAAACCATATGGAAAAACATCAATTCTCAAAATCTTAAACTGATCGTCTAACGCTGAAATCTAACTTTTCCCCCAGCTGGATTTAATTATATTTAAAGAATGGCCCCCCCAAAATTATGTTTTGCACTTCACTGGCTCTGAAATGTCAAAGACTGTTCAGGTGTCGCGTGAAAACGTATACCAAGATGGCTGATGGCCCTGAAATGAGTTTTGTTTCCTCCCCCGGGGCTCAGCCCTCAGTTTCCCAGTATGATCTTCATGTTTGTTTGTTTGTTAAAAAGTTTTTCTGTTTTTGAATGTGCCTACCCATCGCTGTTGCTCCTTGCAGCCTGCGGGTCCTCTTCGCCGCCCCTTTTAAAGAGAGATTGAAAGCTCACCTAATCTGCAAGGCACCGCAATTTCCCAAAACCCCACACAGCCTCTCTACATTCCTAAACAAATGGCCGCCATCCTCCCATTCAGTCCTAGTCGCCTTTCTGGCTAAGTTGGAAGGTCTACTGAGACTGTAGGCCGTGGAGGGAAGAATGCCACACCTCCGCGGCCGTATTAGCCGAGCCCTCTGGAGACTCTCTGGTCGGGTATACAGAAGGGACGGATAATTATTTTCTTGTGCTTTCACTAAATGTACATGCATTAGGGAGATAAAGCCGTGATTTATCTCACAATTCTTTTGAGAATATAGCAGCACATCAGGCTCCTTAATTCTCCCAGATCTTTACCATGTTGTATCTGAACATACAAAGGCCCAGACATGGGTGATTTTTGCCCATGATTTCCTGGTGCAGTATTAATTTCCTCCCTTCTTATAGTCGGGGAAACTACCTATGAAGTGTTTTTATTTATATTAACTGTTCCCGATAAATTGTCATCAATTAAAACTGTGTGTCTGCACCGTGGGAGGCAGCAAAAGAAAAAAAGAAAAAAAAAGAAAACAAAAACAAACCCTACTCAAAAACCAATCTTCATAAATGGTAGGAATTCCTCCTTGGAAGTGGGAAGGGCAGGATGGCTAAGCGTTCTACATGGTTTTGTAACTGATTAGCTTATTAGCTCAACCAATGTTAATGGCACCTTTTTTTCCCGATACTAATTGTAAGGAAGAGTTAGCTTTTGAGTTAGGAAAATCCACACTTGACCTCTGTATTTCTCAAGGTCAGATTAATATTACACCTTACCCTAAAACTGTAATTGGCATGGCAGTCTGCAGATAGTTAAGGCAAATTTAATAGCTCAGCCCAGCCCTAACAAAGCGCACATTTACGGGAGCGAGGAGGAAAAGGCCCTGCACCACGCAAAACACCCTTTAATGGATGGATGTCACCATTATTTCATAGGGAATTCCTAGTGAAGAAGGCAACCGCTTTTGTTGCAATACCGCATTGAGGAAAAAGAAAAAAGGAGGCTCACTTGAAGGAGACAAAAATAAGGTTTCTAGACTCACACGAAGAATTCCCCTGTATGTCACTTCCACAGGCTAAATTTAACATCCTGAGAGATTACCTATGGCTTCCTCTACAAGGCAGGCACACTGGGAATGTCGCTTCCTCTTTTTAAAAAGAAAACAGAAAAGAGAAGTTCTGGTTTAAATGCCTCGTGTGCATTACAGACCGGCTCGCCAAGGGAGGAGAATCCTTTCTCTAAAAATTAAAAAATTGTAGGGCAGCCTGGAGAGTGATAAAGCCTTAAGTAAATTATTGCAAGGATGTCCTACCTTCTGCTGGACTCGAGCTAAGGTAAACAGCGGCGGCTGCATCCTTTTAAAAACGCTAGCCATGTCCAGTTTTAATCAAAATATTTATCTAGAGGGTACGTGGTCAAATTATTTTTGCTTAACTAGCCTCATGAAGAAGCACTCCCTGGCAAGTTACGGGGGAAATAATTATACAAGATTTTTCTTTAAATTACAAATTCACATAGTTAAAAGTCGGTTTCTGGCTTTTTGTTTATCAGCCGCTGACAATCTCTGGGAATAGGGCTTTTTGAAGGGTGTGTCAGGAATTAAGAATTTCAGAATTGCTTTGTGACAAGTGAAAGTGAGTATTTAATTAGCCGCATGTATGTGCGTATTGGTAACTCACTGAGTCACTCATAAAATTGGTAAAATAGCCCATCCTCCTAGATTCGTGCTTAAAGCATAGAGAGCATCTTAAACTAAAACACCCATTTGTATGCGTGACATCATCCTCAGCCCCGAGTATCTGAATGAAGAAATTCTAGAATGTTCCATAAAGAGCTGCCTTTAAGGGCAGTCCTTTTACCTCTGAAAGGTGGTAAAATTCATCTTTGTGTCCCCAGTGCTTGGTGCATAGTAGGCGTCTGTAAGTGGCTTTTTATTGCTTTTTTTTTGTGGGGTTTTGGTGCATAACTGGAACTATGCGGCCCTGACTCAATGTCCCCCTTTGAAACTAAATGGGATGCAAGGGAGAGACAAGTTTTCAACTGAATCCAGGTTTAGGGAAGGGAACGGGACTGCTAACCAGCTAGTAGCTGCAACCTAGTGCCTTCAGGTGTTTGCAATCCGGTGCAGTGAACAGCTGTCACCCCAGTGAAAGCAGAGGGCTGGTAGATTTAGTGTTTTCTGTTTCACAAGGGTGGGGGGCATTTGGGGTCCGGGGAGAAAAGCAGATGCCCTGATTAAATTGAATGCTCCCCTCTGTTTGCATTCTTCATGGCAAGCAGGACCCCGCATTTCTCTTCCATCCCTAATACACACGCACTCTCTTTTAATCTTTATTCTCAATGCGGTATTGTCACCTTGTCCTAAACCGAGATGCCTGCAAGGACTTTTCAAAGGCAAAAATGCCCCTTGACCCGGCCGGAAGTACCTAACTCCCAGTCTCCATCGCTTAAATGTCTTTTTCTTTCTTTAGGCAACATTATTGATTTTTAGAAAGGGAAACAGTGATTTGCCCATAATATTAATTCCAAAGGGGGGGGGTGGTGAGGGAATGAGGAATTATTAACAGGGGCTGCTGCCTCTTTCCAACTTTGTTTTACATGAGAACATTATCAAAACTGTTTTTCCCTAATAGTTTAAAACACCCTGTGTTGGTGCATTGTGCTGACGTCTGCTGGGGTGCGGGGGCGGGGGGGGGCGCTTCTCTGCAGTGGTCAGGTTGCCCGCAAAGGGGGTGGCCATGGCAGGTGTCAGCCATGTTAGAGACCCACTGCACCAAAATCTGTGGGCAGGTCTGCGGCAGACCTGTCATGGGGCCACTTTTATCTGTAAAAGTGCTATTTTCTTGTGGGGGGGGGGCATTTTTATAAGAACACTGGTGCTTTGTTATTACTATTATTATTTATTGCTGCACCAAAGATTAAAAGGAGGGAGGGGGGAAAAATCCCCAAAGAGCTCTTCCCTGGATTTTCTAATATGCAGGCTGAAAAAATTAAGTGGAAATTGGCTGCCCAGCCCCCAAAATCTACCTAAACTTCCTAAAGGTTAGTATAAAACGTGTTAATCTTCCTGTGCCCTTGCACAGAGTTGACACTTACTCTCCATTAAACCCATTAACATGCAGGATCCTCATCTGCTTCACAATGGTGCTTTTACCAGATTCTCCGGCACCTAGAAAATGAAAGTAAGTCTCAGGTTATGAAGGAGGCATTTTACACACTTTGGGCAGGGAAGAGGACTTTTGTCTTTTCCATAGAAGCAGCACGCAAAAAACAAAACAAAACAACAGACTTGCAATTTTCCTTGACATTTCGACGCAGAGAAAATGAAAACACATGTCCAGCTCTGTCTACCTGCAGTATTCACCATCACAATAACGAGAATTAAAGGGTTTGCTGTTTTCAGGAATTTTTCCCCCCTTTGGGTTGTTTTAAAATTTGTGGGGTGGAGAAGCCAAGGGGCAAAGAGGAGGAATGACGCAATTTTGTCATTTGAGGGGGTTAGAAAATTGAAGTTAAAACTGAAACTGAATCCTTGAAATAGGAGCATTCACTGGTGAAACGCACACATAAATGTAGATAGCCACAGAATTCACTGTTTGTCGGAGGTTTCATGGTTAAAACACCCAGGATTCACAAACAATGCCCAGACACCGCAGTCTCCTTCAGCTGGCGGACTGACGCAGCATTTCCCTCCCGCAAATTCTCACAATGCAGCTGCTGTACGTAGGGGCAGCCTTCTCTCCCCTTGGGCTACTCAAAAATCAACCCTGACCTGTAAGGTTACATGTGTCCTCTTTTCCCGCAAAGGGTATTTTCTTAAAGATAAATTCTCTCTGGATACAACCACCATGTTGGGGGAGGGGGGAATGGGAGCCCATCAATTGTATGTCATATTCTCGAAAAACACATTTTAATATCAAATGTAGTGCTTGAGAACAACCATAATCACATGCAGCAACAACTGTAAAAAGTATTAAAAGGACACGACTTTAATCATGAGAAAAAATATTCCTGGGAGCTACTGAATTTTCAGATTCCTCAAGCCCTTCTCAAAGTAAGAAGGAACACACATGCCTCCATTTTAAATCACCTTTCATTTGTAAACATATATTTTATGGAAAAAGCACATTTCCACCCAGCTAGAAGGAGGATTGCTATTTTTTCATTTTCTTTTTTGCAAATGTACACTCACTTCAACAAATACTCTGTGTGAAAAATTTTTTGCCCTCCTCCCACACAAACCTGTTTTTACCTTTTTTTCACTTTTAATTTTATTAATTGCTTTTGTTTTACTGCCCAGAGAGCAAAGCATTCCTCCTTCTCTTGCCTTTTCACAAGGCTGTAATCAATATCTGTAAGTTAAAATTAGTTTCCACAGAAACATTGATTTCAAAGCAAACACTATCTTAATGAGCCCAACTCTAATAAGTTAAAATATTAAAGGCGCTATTAAGATGCCATGCAGAGAATACATGACATTAATCAGAATCTCCAAATTCTTTTGTCAGAAGTGTTAACATGTGTAACACCTCTCTCACACACACAAACAGATCTGTGCCTCAGTTTCCACATTTATGACATTAGAGAATTGGGCTGAAAAATTACTGCAAGATCTTTTTTGGCGCTGTAATTTACTCAATTTTATGTCATTAAATTAAGATGCACTTAAAAAAGAGGATTTTGGGTATCATTAGGTTTCCTCTTTGGGGGGGCATTATTTGGTGAGAGCCACCATTTAAAAATGCAAAATGTGTGGCACTGAGTTGGGCTGCAGACCCCCCATGCCAGAGGCTATCAATAAAATCACGATAAAATGTAGCCATATAGACTAGGACACCTGGGGAAAATAAGCCCGCAGGGATGCAAGGTGTGTTCAGAGTAACAGTCTCAAATTAAGCAGACTTTGTGATCACTGAGCAAAGGTGTTAGAAATTTAAGGCACCCTTAGTATCACATTTGTTTCAAATTAGTATTCAGGTAGCAAGATGGCACTCCTAGGAAAGATTCTAGACTTTTCCAGAGTTATACTTTGAAATCAAGTTATATGCATATTAATAATTCACATAGCATAATTCTACCTTGAGAAGTTTTAGGTAAGACTTCAACATATGTATCATTTAATTACTGAAATTGCAAATGCATAAACACCAGACTTATTTCCACTTAATTAATTTTCTGCTTTATATAAATCTGGACCCAGGAGAACAAAGAGGTGACCCATCCAAAAAAAAGCAAACCAAACACCACCACAAAGACAATTCAGCCTTTTACATTTTTATTCTTTATAATCAAGCTGTTTTGTTCAAATGTGACCATGAACTAGGTTTTAACCTAGCAAATTCACAAATTAACTCAGATAGCCAAATTACTGAGGAAGTGGAAAACTTCCATACTAATTAATGCTTGTGTAATTCTTCTGGTTATTTCAATTTCTTTTATGCTTATGTTTTATTTTGTCCCTCCCCCTCCCCTTAAGAAAAAAGGAGGAAAGGCCATCTCCTTATAGTTAACAATCCCCCCCGCCTTTTTTTTTTTTTTTTGGCCAAAGAGGAAAAACCGCAATCAAGAGAAAACCCAAAACCAAACAACCAAATGTCACTTGACAAACAACTAATTAACGTCTTTTCATCTCCTTCCACCTGGAAAAAAAGTCTTCTCCTTAAAGCGCTCTCAATGCCCCCTCCCACCTTGAAAAGGACAAAAAAAAAAAAAAACCACGCCATTTCCAGACCAAGAAGCCATTTACAGACAAATGTCATTTTCCAGTTCTGATTTGTGAATGCCTTTTTTTTTTTCTTTCACAAAGCACTCTCAATGTGGCCGACTAACAGGAAAATGTGTGTGTGTGTGTGTGTTAATGGTTTGGTGGTGGGGGGGGTGCTACAATTAATTCTCTTGCTTTTCAAAAAGCCTGCATGTCTGGAAGGGGATAAAAAGGTCATACTGTAAAAATGACGTGTCATTTGGCTTCACTGGGCATTTAGCGTACTAACTCCATTTTTTTTTTTTTTTTTTTGGCTTTTATTTTATCTTGTAGATTTGTCTTCTGGATCTCTTATGTTTTTTCCTCATTTTTTTTTGGTTTTATTTTATTTGATTCTCCTTGTCTTCCTTCCACGGCCCGACCCGGCCCGGGACACGTCTGCTCCGCGCACACACTGTGTGTCCTGCCCGAAACGCACCGAGTCGCGCCCAGCGGCGGCCGCGCTCCCTCCTCCCCGCCCCCCCCACTCCGGCGCCACGACTCGCCCGCGCCCCCTCCCCCTCACTGCACCACCTTTACCACTCCGATCCCTTCCGAGGGGCTGATGTCACCCGCCCCCCCACTCTCCTCGGCCACTTCCCCCGCCAAAGCCTCCCCTTGGCGAGGTCCCCTCCGCCACAGCGGCGCCCCCCCCGCCCCGCGTCACCCCCTCCTCTCTGGCCCCTCTTTCTTCTCCCTCTCCCAACAAATCACACACCCCACGGAGGCGGGTCCCCCTCCCTCTGCCCGCCACCCCATTTCCTGTCCCCGAAACCCTCTTTTTGTCGCAGTCTCCCGAGCCCTGTGGGGCTCCCCCTCCCCCTCCCCAACATGCACCCAAACCCCTGGCGTCGTGTAGGCCTCGCGGAAAACAGAGAGAGAAAAAAGAGCAAGGGGGAGGGCGAGAAAGAGAGAGAGAGACAGAGAGCGGGCGGGCCAGGGGAGGGGGCC